CAATTAAATACAAAAAAACCTGAAATTCTCTTCCAGCCTTCTCCCCTTCTCAATTTTGTAAACACACAACAAACCAGAAAAGAATTACTAGAATCTGCAGTGCGAAGGGTGAACCCTTTAAGTTTATTGTGCTTCTCTTTTTTTTTAATTAAAACTTTGTTTATTAAATTTCTGCAGCTAAAGTATGGGGATTATTAATCTTATTCAGTAGCTAAAGATATTAGTAGAGAGAGGACAAAAGGAAGAATTTAATAGTAAGACAAAGTGTTGATTGCAACATTTTACCAAGAAAAATACAGGGAGCTGCAAAGCACAAATATTTTCTCTCATCTGCTTATAAAGGAGAAAGAAATGAAAATTCCTAAGTTATGTACATGTGCACATATGTAATTTAAAACATTAGTAGTAAATGCATCTGCCATTTCAGAATATAATCACAGATATATAAAATCAATCATAATCAGTAGACACCCTTCCTCCTGCGCTTTGTTTCCTGCATGTTCCTTGTTTAAGACATCATGAGAGCAGCAAACAGAATTTTTGTTCTTTATGAGAGGATTCTGTTTTTTGCTTAATATTAAAATTAACAAGGGAAGCCTTTCTTATTCATAAAATAAACATAAAAGACAAAATAAATAATATAAATATGAAATCTTCTGGTCTGAGGACAAATTGGCATTTGGAGATCTGCTTAGTAAATACCATTGATGAAATAAGAATAAATTAAAGATACTGCAGCCAAAACGGTTTTAGAAGATTAAAGAGATAGTCTGAATTGCAATTCCAGCTACAGATACCTATAAACAGTGTCAAACATTGCCTACTAATTTCTGACCCTGATTCCAGTTTGCAATGATAAGCATGTTTTATATCCCAACAATTCCAGGGGCTGAAATTCATCACTGGCCCTCACTTTGGGTAAATTAATTCCTTTTGGACAGTAGAAATTTAGTGAAAAATACTGGCAACACTACTTTTCTTCTGCAGCAAGTGGAGGTATAATTAGGGGCCCAAGGGCACCCTGTTCTCCCCTCTTTTTTTTTTGTTTGGCTTCCCAGTACAAATGTTAGTGTTAAAATTAGTGTTTAGGAGGCAGCGAAGTAATATATTTTATTGTTTCAGTGGCAGTGAAGTAATATATTTTTGTTTAAAAATGGTCGGCTGAGAAGTGTTTCAGGCATTCACAGTTTAGACATGCAATTATTTTCATGAGACAATAAAAATCTCAGTTAACTTCATTGTCAGTTCTTAGACAGATTTCATATCAAAAAACCACAATTTAGAAAAAGTGGAAGAAACAGGATCCACCAGGCTGGACCACACCCAGTACAATAGGCAGAAATGCCTACAGAGGCTGATTATTCATACTAAGGACACAAGATTCACCAACCAGAAATTTAGTAAAACCATCATCTACCAATCCGTGTACCAGTTTATTTCACCAAAGGAAAGTAATTTACTTATGAAAAATATTACTATGATAAGATATGTATGGAGACATTCTCCATGAACAGTGAAAACACAGAAATTTTCTTAATGCTCTCTTCTGCACATTTTTTTTAAACAATATGCAGATTAGTTAGTGAAAAAAGTGAGGAAACTCCACTATTATATGATCAAATGTTAATATTTGGTAGGAAGAGACATATTTGAATGGTCTAAACTCTTCCTAATCTTGATAGAATTCCTCCTTCTAACAGAGGTTGTAGCTCGAAGTATACAAACAATGTAAAAAGATAACATTCAGCAACTTAAAGGGAATTTATGTTGTCTAAATAAGGTCCTACTATAATAAATGCTGCCTATTTTAACTTCCTTGGAACAGTATCCACAGCTCTTCAGCATTCCAGTGCAAAGCTATATTCCATAAGAAACCGGTTTCTTTAAAGTACCATTTTTTTTCAATTTTAAAGAAGGGAATATATTAATAGAGTTGTTTAGATCCACTAAGTGTTTAGAAGAAATTGAGGATAGAAAAGATATTACCTGCCTTTACAGTGGTGGGAGGAAATTCAGTTAATTTTCCAATACTGCGTCCGCTTGTGCTTCAGTATACCTCTACGTCAACGCCCTCATGAGGCCTGGAAAGCAAGTTGGAGAAGATATCAAACAATGAACCTCAGTTTTGTTCGGGATATAGAGCAAATGGCTTCCTAAAATGATAGTTTAAGGAATGCAATGTTTGTAGCAAAGCAATCTTACACCCTGCAGCGATACAAGAACTGGGACAGTCAAAGAAACAGGAGACTAAAGCAGAGGCAGTGGGATATGCAGTGTAACTGGGATATGCTCTGTATAGAAAATCCCCCTTTATGAAGAAAAAATGCTACAGGTTGATAAATCTTGATGAAGAGCAACCTACAAGTCCTCAGTTCCAACAAACTGGGTTATTACATCCTAGATCTCAGGAGCAGGAAGTAACCAGGTCTCAGCCTTTCTACTGATCTCATGACAATGAGACCATCACTTTATCCTTCAACTTTTCAACTTTTTATCCAAGTAAACAGAAAATAAAGTGTTTAAATTGCAAGTCATTCCCCTTTACTGTTTTACTCCTGTTCACTTTATTATGTAGGGAAAACTACTGCTTACAAGTTGTTTATGCAGTTTGGACTCTGCTCTTAGTACATTACTTTTTGAAACAGACATTGTTAAAGCAACACAGCCCCCTAGTGTGGATGTAATTCAAACTTTAATTCACATACAATGACGAGGCACTAGCTTTCACCAGACTATTTGTACTAAAAATTACACAGACTTCAACAAAAAAGCTCTCACTAAATGATGACACAAATGAAAAACTCAAAACCATATACAAAGAAAATCTGCACCAGCCAATAATTAAGAATGTAGATTTAACAATAATTTGATAGCTTAGATAATTTATATTTGGAACCTTTCAGCTAACAGTTTCGAGTGAAGATTTAGATGCTTTCAAAAAGACAGAATTAAGTCATGGACCTTATTTCTCATGCCTCATATCTTAAGAACTGGAAGAACTTGTTCTTAAGTGGGTTGTCACTTATGTAACATAACCCAGCAGTTGCATTTTCACTATTCATTCTGTTGTGCCAACACAGCAAATTCAATCAGAATGGCGTCTCAGGTGAGAAGCAGATGGGCAGGACAGTGTGTGAATAAGTTTCCTGATGTGGTTCTGTACATATCCACATTAACACTAACTGCAGGGAGGGGACCAGGACACAGCCTGAGAATAAGCAACTACACCAAAATGTATGCACAGTTCCTCACCAGCATTCATACTCAGCTTAAATGTCTTTCCCAGTACTGTTTCTGCCTGCCTTTAAGGCTAGTGTCAACATGCTTAGACTAAACACACTTTTCCAGTTGTGTCTCTTGCCCTGTGCTCCTCTAGCAACCTTAGAAGACTTCATCTGCATCTGCTCCTCTCCCAGTGGATAGGCCTTCAATACAGGCATGTAGAACTGCACACAGTATTCCAGGGAAATGAAGCTGAGACTTCTTATATAAAGTAGGATTCACTGGAGTCTGGAAACACAAGATGCAGGGCAAGGCTTTAGATTAGACAACTCACGGCTTTGCAGAACCATTAGATTAAAAAAAAAAATAAAATTGAGACTGACAGTAATCAACAATCCCAGGGACAAAAAGTTACCTTTATGCACTGTTTAAATAAATGATAATGCAATGTGAACAAATGAACATGTTCCATTCTCTGTTTATATTTGGTTTGAGGTTTCTTTTCATGCTATTTTTGGGCTGTATAATGCAATAAATACGTAATATCTAGATTTAAATTTTTGCAATCTTTCCTTACCTCACCACAGAATCAAGTTGATTAAGGGATATGTGGCTAGCCCTTCCTACAAGCAGTAATTTTTCTACTCCTTTTATGTATTCTGTTTGCATATTTCAATATTAAAGCTAAAAAAGAGCCAAGAAACATGAGATTTCAGCCCCTCCCCCAAAAAGTCAAGTATTTTAACATCTATATTTGGCCACAAATAAGGTGAAAAAACCTTTTTTCTTCTCTATGTATGTTGCAGATTGACTTAGCAATAAACATGAATGTTTATACTACTGGAACTAAATTGCAGGACTTTATAATCAGTTTTTAATTTAGTGCCTATGCTCCTAAAATTATGCTGTTCTTATATTTCTGGATCAATTAACCACCGCATCTCCTTTCCTGACTAAAGGGCTTATTTCACAATTAATCTTCAATTATCTTCTATGAAAAGGGCATATTTACTGGCGTCAGTGATCTCATAAAGCTAAATCAGTGTTTATAATTTTAAGATAAGTGCATAAAATGCCATATAAAAACTTACTATGCACTCATGCACACAAAGTCTTTCTTCAGCTGATGTTTTTAGAGAATGCTTTAGACACAGAAGGGAAAAAAAGCAACTTTAGTTACAGCAACTGCTTTTGTAAACGTTTTTTAAAAAATAATAGTGACAACCAAGCAACCATTTACCAGCTTTAAAGCTGTAACTCTGTACATTTTGTCCCACTGCAAGGTTTCCCTGAGGTGGCTGCTGCTTTTGAAACTGTGCTCCTTTAAATAGAGACAGGCCCGAGTAAAGTGCTACACATCTGACTCCTCTGGCAAGACTCACAGCGCAGCGCTGAACTGCTCATGTTTCATCTGGCATCTCAACAGTACCTGGCTGGAACAGCAGCATCTTATATCACCTACACAGATTATCTGACTCCCTGTTTTTTCAAATACACTTAGAAACAACCTGTCGTTACCAGTGATCAAAATTTCATTTACTACAATCAACAATTACACTAATTTCAAACAGCAAAGAACATTTTTATAACATATCTTAAAATAAAGTCTCTTGGACAAAATACTTTTGAGAGCAAATACTATATTGAAAAGTGTATTACAAGGGGAACTAATTCTATGCTGTGGAAATATTTGGGATTTGCTTCTCAAAACTGGCAACTAGAAATCTATTTATTGTTCTCTATGAAATCACCGTAACAGCAAAGCCTCCAGAGATAAATACTTTTGACTCTCTGTGGGAGAGTCATTAATCTTTTTATTCATCTAGTACACAGTTAACCCTCCTCCTCCTCAAAAGATCTTTTTCAGGCTGGCCAACACTCAGTGTTTAATAACTGTGTCCTGACAAAATGGTTGATCAAAACCCAGTAACACTATTTTAACATTTCATAAATAATTGAATATATTTTACATACAAATTGCCTCTCCTTCCAAATGAAATAATAAATTTATTTTTCAAGTAAAGATCACAGAGATATTTAAAAGAGAAAAACAAAACAGCTGTATAATAAATATTTCAAATACACTGGATTTTTTTATCTCTTCAGTGATACAAATCAATGCAAGAACACATGTAATTTAGCTGATCTGTTTTTAACCTAAGCAGCAACAGTACAATATCCTAAAAATGAATTAGCACTTGTGCAACCAATCACATTAAGTATTTCACGTGATTTTTTTTTTTATTTTTTGTAAACAGCTTAATTGAATTTTCTTGGAATACTTCTCATCTTTCAATTCCGAATTTAATTAGGCTGCAATTACAAACCTTCTCTGCCATATGCATAGTAAACCTGTTTCATCTCTGTCACACTACTGTTAAAGTTAGCATTAGCTAACTTTAACATGTAGTGTAGCTTGAAATAACACCCTTTCAATGTGCTATGTAACAAAACTTTTAAGGGTGACCTGGGAAAGCAGTAGAAAAATAATAAATACCATACACCTCCATAAAGTAGTCAGTAGAAGGCAATTATATTCTAGTTTATCATTACTTCCACCAGTATTTTTGTGTTGCTAAACAATTGAAATGTGTTGTTTTCCAACATCACTGAATAAACTTCATATACGTGGCTTCTTCTGGTGATGCAGGAAATGCCCTTGCAAGCAAGATTTGCACTTGCACAGCAGGCAAGGTGAGGTACTTGGTGCCTTAATGACCTAAGTACAGCAGCACCGAAATGTATCTTTGAAATCCAACACAGCTCCACCAGTCTATGACTTTGTAAAAGAGAAGACAGCACATCTAAGTTTTGCCACCTGTCCTTCTCTGATTACTTCTTTAGTTTCTCCAGACTCAAATAAAACACAAGTTCACCAAACACCTAAGTGGAATTGACCAAAGACAACACCCACAGATTTTGAGACAGTAAAGTTACCTTTTGAATTGTGTGTACATATTTTCACTTACAATCTCCATTTGCTACAAAATAATAGAAAAAATGCTGACGATGTGGATAACACTAGAGTCAGGTGCACTTTACCAAGGTCACTGACATCACTTAGTAGAAGCACACTGTAATTTTATCAGCTGTATTTAATGAAGGTTTTAGTTTATTATCAAATTTACACTGCACTAACATTTTACAATAATGTTGGTTGTAGAGGAAATCAATCATACTTAAGAAATATACAAGATGCTTGCAAGAGAAAGGGATTTAAAAAGAAACTGGTAAAAAAAAAGGGAATAAAGAGAAGGAAGAAAAGGGATAAAATGAAAGAATATAAAGAAAATTATAAACCTTAAAAGAATTCAAGACATAATATCTGAATAGACTTAAGTTTGCAGTAATATTACACAATACTAGAGGAAATTATGTCGACTTCTGTTGCAAAGCATGTAACTGGCTTTCTAAGTAACAACCAAGGAAAACTCATGAACAAAAATACATAATACATTATTTTACTTAACAAACAGTACAGTTGTAAACTTCATACCTTTAAAGAAAAAGAATTGATGTCTGCATGTGTAAACAAACACACAAATATTTTAACGAGCACTAGTTGTAAAATAATTAAAATAATTGTTGTAAGACATTATAGCATGAAAATTAATTCTGAAATTCAATTTATTTTTAAAGGAATACCTTGAAATGGATAAAAATAGAATTTATATTTTTTAATCTTATAAATAAATTAAATGCCTTTTCTAATAAAGCATACTGAAATTAGGTGGATTTTCCTACTTTCAGGGGACATGAAATAACTACATCAATTGAATGTTAAAAGCTCAAGGTCTTCTGAACTGTTTGATTTATTAAATATTATGCCAAATATTCAAAAGGAAAGCTTTCCAGTTAGGAAGAAACTCTGTGTTTTCTTCAGTTATAATACAAAAGATAAGAGTGGAGAAAAGTGACAAAAACTACATGGCAGTGTAATAATCTCTGCTCTGTCTCTTTCAGGCACTTTCATAACTCTGAAAATAACATGTTCAACTGTTTATTTGAAAGGTAAAAATCCTTCCCTTTAGGAATTAAAATTTTAAAAACTGAGAATACTTTTACACAAAGCATCACATTGTAATTAGAGTACCTACATTATGATGAGATGGGCCCCAAAAAGAATTAAGCAGTCTCAAATTTCTTCCTACCGTAACCATTCAATGATTCCATGTTTCTACAACAACCTTTCTGGAAGGCACCAGATACCTGGCACAGCTCCATATGTGGTGTGACTCCCTGAGGAAGTGACCCAACCCAAGGACATCTCATCTCAGGGAAGCATCAACCACTGTTTGTGAATGTCATGGAAGCAGCACACTAAAGGCAACAAAACCACTGAACCACAGGTCAGGATACACAATACAGTCTGAACGAGGAATGTCACACCCAACCCAAACATAGCACTGAAGAGAACAGACATCACCTTTTTCGAAACAAATAGTGAAAATGAAATCTGAATAGTCTCATGGATGTTTCTTTACATCACCAGCTTTCATCAGAGCCTTAATAGCTCTGGCCCTCATCTCAAGTTCCAGAAGCTCCAGCTGTTGTGCTGATGGCTGAACATCTTCTGATGGAGGAACAGCTAAGGCTGCTGCTTTGGGCTCCTTTGGGCTGGACTCGGCCAACCCCAGAATCTCATTCACACTCTTCTCAATGTCCTTCTGAAGGTCATCTATCTGGCCAGCTCCACTTCTGACAGTGCTCTCTTGCACATCTGGACCATCCTCTTCATTGCATGGGCCTTCTATGTCACTATCATATGCATCTGCATTTATGCTGAGGACATCACTATCTTCTCCCTTGCCTGTAACACAAACATAACAATCACAGAGTTGCTTAACAGAATTCTTTTACCTCAAACTACAAAATCACTTCTGCTTAAAGTGTTACTTTGCAAATTAAGAGAGTGGAAAAAATCTAGAAAAAAAGCTATATGATAATCAACTCCTCTTCTTTGTCTCCTTCAACTTTTAAAGGTAATTTACACAAGTTTTATTGCATCTTTATGCATTATAAAAGAATATGCAGTATAGCAATGCAGCAATAGCAGAAAAATTTATTCTCTCCTGTGAAGTTACATTACCTATTTTTCTAATTAAATTGTCAAAAAAATTTATACTAAGGAAAACTTCTGCAGTGCAAAACTGATTTTCGTTTATCTCTTAAATAAACCTAATTTTCAGATTGCAACTTCAAAAATTACACTCAACTATGTTATGTATTTTAAGAGGCATGGGATTTTAGTGAGACACAAGACTAAAAATTAATAGAAACTCATAGTGCAACTACTCAGAATTTATCATTAGTCCTCCAGATGTATTTAACTCCATATAAAAACATGGCTAAATTTAAGACTTAAGAGTTTTAATTGTGGCTGAAAGTTGGAGTGTATTTTTAAAAACATAATGAAAAGAGGCAGCTCAGTAAAATAAAAGCAAAGCTCTAACAGAACCTAACTAACCATTCTCCCAGTTTGGCTGCAGCAAGACTTGCTTTTGACACACTGCCCTCCGAAGTTCACACTCTTTCAACAGCTTTTGTAAATGTGGAAATTAAGAGCAAGACTAGTTCCAGCTTAAAATGAATAATGTGTAGTCAGATAATAATTAAGTTACTGATTACATAGACTTTATAATTGAGTTATTACTTTTAAGTTTTTATTATTAAATTACTACTTTTGATAATACCATTTTTACCACTTGCACAGGGAAAAAACGGCTTTAGAAAAATGTTATTTTTTTTTTAAACATTTAAAATGCTTTATGGTACTTGGTATTAATAATGAAAATACATGATATTGTGCTCAAAAACCTTGGGAAGATTTATTTTTCTTCGTGTTTACAACATTCCTCCCATCCTGAGGGTGTGGGAAAAAAAATCAATACTGACTACTTCAAAAGTTATAAATGCAATTTCTCTACTTAAAAAAATAAAAGGAGGGAGGAAAGGAAGATCAAAACAGCTCAGAATTGTTTTATGAACAATAGTAATATTTTAAAACATTAGGGTTTTGTTGATTCAGCATTGAAAATTTTTTGTATTATAGGACACATTTCAGTTACTCACTCATGGTCACTCTCTATCAGGCTGCGATCATCACAGCATTTAAGTTCAGATTTAAGAATTCTGCACACTCACCCTGAGAATGCACTCACACAGCTAAGGTATGTGGCACCTCAAAAATTCCAAAATGAAAATATATGTTAAGACATACAAAAGAAGTTTACAGACCACTTTTCATCTTTTTTTAAAGCAAGATAAATCACAATTTTGAAATAATAAAATTTGAAAACCTAAAAATTAAACAAGGCTCCAAAAATTCTCCTCACAGCAGTGTGTATTGAAATGAGATGAACATACCAAGGTCTTCTTTGATCCTAAGTAGTCTTGGCCTGTTCCTACTGTGACAGTAACTTCAAGATTAATATTTCATTTTCATATGCAGTTTCCCCTACTTCCCATACCATTTAGTCATGTTTGAACAGTATCTTTTTAACTTTACCTTGCAAGCCACAATGTGTGCGAAAGATCAGAATGGGAAACAACAGGATTAAGAAACTGTCTTTCTTCACAGTATCAGTCAGTGTTTACCTAACATGCTGGTCAGCCTAGGAGTATTCCCATGGATCAAAAAATCAGCTGTATTAGTGGATCACAGTTCAAAGCCTGAAACTTAACATCTGAGCCTGACCATCCTAATATACTGCCAAAGTCAAACTGACCTGTACAGACTCTGGCTGGGATGGAGTTCATTTTCTTCACAGCAGAGTGCATGATGCTGCTTTCGGATTTGTTTCTGAAGCATGTTGATAACACATGAGTTTGGCTACTGCTGAAGAGTGCTTGAACAGCCTCAGGGCTTTCTCTGTTTCTCACTCTGACCCCACAGAGAGTACACTGGGAGGCTGGGAGGATGCAGAGCCTGGACAGCTGAGCCAAACTGAACTAAGGAACATGCTCCACCATACAGCACTGACATCTTCCCAAGTAACTGTCATGCATGCTGAGTCTCTGCTTTCCAGGAAGTGGCTAAAAATCTGGCTGCCAATGGGAGCTTGTAACTAAGTCTCTGGTTTTTGCTTTGCTTCAATGTACAGCTCTTGCTTCACTTATTGAAGAGTCTTTATATTGACTCATATGTTGTCCTCATTTTTTTTTTGCTGACTGTCACCTTTATCCCACTGGGGGACGAACAATTCAGGGGTTGGTAGGTGCCTACTGAGTCAGCCCATCATAGGATTCCTTTTGGAATCAATTGTCACATTAAGAAGGAACAAAATATTAAGTCATTCATGTCTATCCCAGAGAAGCTGGGCAGAACAACCTTGGGTTCTATTTAGAAATTGGAACCTTCAAAACTGTGGAATTCAGGGTTCATTCAGGCTTTTTGGCCTGCAGATGTATAATGAGCTAAAAGGCTTTACTTCCCTCTTTTGCTTCTGTGTTTTTACAGTAATAAGGATCATGGCTGGCATTTCTCATCATTTTTTTCATTTTGGTAACTTTTACTTTTTTTCTTCATCTACAGTTGCAAAATTAATTTCAGCACGCTTAATTTCATTTTTAAATTTTAATTTTATCCACTTTTGCTTATTCTCTCATTCTCCCTTCTTTTTCCCACAGCTTCTCAGGCTGTGGGAAAAAGAAGAGAGAATGAGAGAATAAGCAAAAGTGGAGAGAATGACTGGAGTTACACTTTCTAATCTATACAATAATCTCAAAAGTTCTTAAAAGCTAACATCTTGAGAGGAGTCACTGTTTTAGCCCAAAGCAATCATGATGCTCTGGTTGATTAAGTCATAAAAAAACCAATGATATCACTTGCAGTAACCATCAATTCCTTTTGATAACACAGAAGCGGAAGAAATCTGCAGGAAATCCATCAGTTCTAAGGTTCCTCCAATAGTACAAGAAGCAACATTTAAATGATTATCCACAGTCATAGCAACTCACACCTAAGAGTTTTGGTGCTTTTATTATGTATGACTCTTTTCCATTTGACTCTTCTCACTAACTAATTCAAAAAAGAAACACATTTCAAAAGTCATTCCAAGACACATCTTTTAGACAACATTCTGAATTGTGAAATAGTAGCTGCAAGAAGCAAATAAAGTTAGATTTTGCAGAAAAGAAATGTAGCTTAGAAGAATTTTCAGCATTCTTTGACTGGAAAAGCTATTTCTGATCTTTCTGCTTAGAGCCAGTCAAAATGAAAATAAACAGACTGAGACAGAAACACCTCTAGTTCTAGTGCTTCATGCACAAACTAATATTGGCAATTGTTATATGTGCTGATTTAATGACTGGAATAAAATAAATACTACTGCAGGCTAAAAGTACCGTTTTCTTGTGTAAAAAGTACAAATGTGCACCAGTAACTTCTGAGCCTTTGCATTTTCTATCCTGCCAATCACTGTAGTACTTGAATGTCTCACAAGCTATGTTTTTGCATTTAAGAAGAGAAAGTACACAAAACGAAATACTCTCTCCCAATGTATGTTAATTTTCTGTTCACAAGAGAGCAGTCAGCTACCTGGAATAAGTCACTGCCCAACATCAAGAACACAAAATTTCAGCTGTCTCTACAACATACCTTGCTTTGACTCCTGACCTTCCAGCTTGCTGTCTTCTCTCAGAGAAGAAGTTGAGTCTATACTGTTGTCCTGTCTGGAAACAATTAAGAACACATTTTAATCACCATAATTTAAAATTTAACAGAACATTTTTTAGAAACTAAAAAATTATCAGGGGGTAGGCCAATAAGCCAGCTACAGTAGGAATAAGGACAGAATAAGTACAGAGAGCTAATGTAAGCACTTGAAAATAAACTTTTTTTGTTTTGCCTTGTGATACACAAGAATAAAGCAATTATTTCCACTGCATCCTTGCCTTTTAGAGTAACAATCCTCAATGGCTGTAACTGAGCAACCACAGCTGAGCAGTTATAAGGGAAAAGCTCCTCATATTAGGAGCTTTTCTGTAAAACTCAAAATAAATAAATTGTCACATAATTAGATTGTTTGGAAAAATGATAATTTCTGCTGCACTCAAATACTATTTACTGTATTATTTTGAAAGTAAAAAATTACTTTAATGAAATTATCATCAGACCATCACTAACCTCACCTAAACCAGAATCTTCTTGTTTCACAAAGGGATACCTTTTAAAACAGAAGTATTTACAACTTAGCTATTACAGTGTATTCAGTACTCGCATTTCTCTATTTCTCCTACTTAAAGACTTCTACCCTTGATGTGTAGGGCTCCAACTCTTACACAAGTGTAAAGAAGAGACATTTCAGTGAAAGGTTAATGTCCTTCATGTACTTCACTCACACTAGTTACACAAATTGTGAAAACATTCAGGAAGGATACAGGTAGAACAATCCAGAATCACAGGAAAAGTTCAACTGCCACATCCAGTGAGCATTTTGACAACAGAATTTCCAAATTTCTAAACTGGAGTTAGTGTATCATTGGCTTCATCTGTATTAATACAGAATCAATGCAGCTCTCCTGGCCATGGGAACTTAACAACTGTATAAAAAGGAAGCAGTATTCTGGTGTCACAGATGTAAATATAATGACTAACAACTTGTTTCTCAATAATGGCCTTTAGGGCTTTCCTGAAAGTGAACACAGATCTATTTTCCTTGTGCTTTACAAGTTGTGTTTCTTTCCATATGCCCAATGGTTTTATCAGGAGGAGGAACACCACAGTATTTCTAGAAATCACGGTCTGAGAGGAGAGGCAGTTATTTTCATTTCTATTTCCTTTAATGAAGCAGCAAAGGCTACATCAACAGACTCTCCTTTTTTCCCCTACTTTTTTTAGCCATTGGAACATAATTGTGTAAAGTATCATCAATAACTCATTAAGGACAATAAACAGGTCAATACACTTGCCTAGCAAACCCTGGATGTGAACACCAGTCTGTTCTGCTTATTTACTGAGCCACATGGCTACACTAACTCCTTTTCCAAATGAGATGAGAATAATCACAATATGCCTACACACGTGTAGACAACTGCAAAGAGGACCACAAATCAGATGGGCCTAAAGGACTGTGCTGCCAGAAATCAGACAGAATGAAAAATATACACCTTCTCCAGGATTTTCAGTGTCATGCAGCTGTAAGTAGATGCTTGTAATTCACTAGCAAACCTCAAGCTAGTCTAGACAAGAAGCAGGATGCAAGATCTGGGATTAAGGTATGAAACAGACTGTAAAATCAGAGGCAAAATTCCAAAAGCAGAGTAGGTTCTGCAAGTAGGCAAATTTTGGGACGATAATAGAGCACTAGATAGCCCAGAGATGAACAGCTTCAGCTACCGGGGACAATCACAGGCCTATACCTGCCATCAGAGAGGCCTGCATGCACATGGAAGTCTGAGCAGCAACAGCAACAAGGATACAAACCTTGTGGGCTTCTGTGCCAGCAACCAGGGAGAGATGTGGATTTCAGACCAGCTACTGGTTGGCAGATGTGGATGGAACCACTTGGTTTTTGGCTTTTTGTTTTTGAGCAACTCCTAACAATTTGCTGTATCTAGTTACTTAACTCTTACTTAACTCTTGACCAAAATTAGGTTGTAATATACCCTGATCATCACTAAGAGCAGAAGCAGCTTTGGCTGCTCCTGTCTAATCCTCTTTCACATACATACTTCACCATTCAGAACTCAGTAGTCATGTTCGCAAAGTGGACATCAAAAGTGTCACTCTTAAAAGCCTGATCTCGCACCAGTAGTACTCAGACAGTAGATTTCAGAACTCTGGTATCACCTTAATGTCTGATGAGGAACTGTAATCATCTCTTTCAGAGAAAACAAAATGACCACTATAGTTCAAACATTGGCTGTGAAATTATCCACAATCATTTTAACAACCGTATTAAAAGAAATTACCAACTTTAAAACAAACCACACACTGAAACTTGCAAAGTTTCTTCCTGATGCTTTGACTTTAACAATAATTACAGCAAACTCATATTGCTTTAGAGACTACCTACTGTCAGCAAAAGAATTTTTATGACATGGGAGTACTTTTAGAGCATGTTTTACTCTCTGAGAATTGATTGGATTGGACTGCATTGCTGCTGAACCTTCATGACTTTGCTTTGTAGGCAAGCATTTTGCACCATCTACTGGCCCAACAAATGCATTTTAAGTTCATTGTTCACTTTGGCTTTTAACTTGTTAGCCTTGTTTTATGTGTTTGCTAGTGAAAAATATTTTTCCCTAATTATTTCTAGTGTGGTATACACGTAAGAAAGGGGGGGTCTCCAAACAATGGGAGCAGAAGATATGTTATTCTAAAATTAAGGGACCTTATAAACACTTAATACTCTCTTTTATCATGCTGTGCTGGTAAGTGACAATAGTAATTTAGAGTGTATCCCTTTTGCCAGCCTTTATATTTCTCCCTCAAGATGACAGTTAAGTTCAAAGTCAATCTTCCAAGCAATAAACTCAGCACTTTAAATTTATTATTTTAAACAGAACAACATTTTCACAGTATGATATTTTCAGCAGAAAGAAGCTAACTACACTACAATTTGCTGAAAACAAATGTTGTAAATTTAAATTTACCTTACTTTATGTAGAGCATGCATTTCATGTTGTCATGTGCCACAATAGTGTAATCCCTAACTGGGCTTACACAAATGGTTTCTGTACAAAATTTGCTACAGGAATTTGCACAGCTCTCAAAGCATCTGGGTGTGAAAGTGATTTGGTACCCAATTCCAGTAGACTTTGCAAAGTGGGGTAAAAACACAGCAAAGGTTAGGAAAAGGAGTACTGGCAGAGGAGCAGATGGCTAAGGATTCACAGTAGCTCTCCAATACTGGTGGCAGGGATACCAGGTTGCAGTGGTCACTGGGGTTGGAGACCAGAAGGAAAAGTATTATTCACCTAAATCTCCAGTGAGACTTGAGATCGGGACCTCTGTTATTTTTGACGTGATGCACCTTCTGGAATTAAAATTTACCTTTGCACTCAGCTCCAGGTCTAAAAACCATTTCTAGAAGTCCCAAGCCCTTGAAAGATTCCTGCAAATTTTTGTTCCAAGGATAGTTTTCAATGATAAATGAGAACCAAAATAATTAACAAGCATTAAGTAGCAAGTTAAAAAAACAAAAGGGAAAACAGTTCTTATGAAATAGTGCTTCTGAAGAAAGGTATCTCAAAAGACAGGTGTTAATCAAATAGTTTAATGAGCTATGCAAAGTCCATCAGTCCTGTTACAGGTGATGTTTGAGGACACCACAAGAACAGAAGGCAGTGGAGCAAATTAGCCAAATGCTGATGTATCTGTTCAGTGACTCATGCAGCTGGTAGTTACAGAGATTCCAAATGCTGAAAATAAACAAATTGTCTTACAGGGGTAAATATCAGATGGTAATTGCTTGCTTGTGAACACGCAGCAACCAGGAGCACAACACATCAAAACAAGACAAAAGTTTTATCTGCTAACCTTTCCAAAAGAAAACAAGCAAACTACACTTATGACTGCAAAGTAGTAAAACACCTATAAATTCTTGAAAGAGCAAATATTAAACTGCAACTTTTCACTTGGGGAAAAAAATAAGCCCAATATGATTTTGAAGGCAGAAGATCATTTACTCAGACCCATATGAACATTGATCATTATAATGACACTAGAATGTTTGTTCTTTTAATGTTTTACTAACACAGCATGTAACTTACTTTCACTTGTTCTGCTGAATGATATTTGAAGAATCAATTCAGGTAAAAGAAAAGAAACAGCTCACAAACATGCTAACACTTCTTGAACAAGATGAAGAATATCTACTTGGTTTTTCCAAGACATCTGACTCCTGTCAATTAAATATCTGATGTTTAGCTGGAAGCTTTATATACAATAATTCTCTTGTTTTAACAGTATTCAATTTCAGACAGTAACACAGAAATGCAAGAAAAATCTGAGAACTGCATATTCAAAAACCTACACAGAGCTGACAAATAACAAAATTTATCTATTGCAACAGCATGTTCCAGTTACTGGCAAATATAGGCCCTGCTTCTTCAATTCTTCTGCATGGTTATTGCAGGATTTCTAATCCTTCACACAGAGTAAGCTGGTGATAAAATAAAAGAGTAAATGTTTTACATGCTAATGTAAGCATGTGAAGCATTTACATAGTTGAAATTCATGAAAAGCCTCAGGATTTCCACTTCTAGTAACAGAATGAGGATATGTGCAAAAACAAAAAACAGAAGATCCAATTTACAATAAGATGCAATACCATCTGAAAGCTTCACAGAAAGATCTGAATTGTGCAAATTTCCTGTAACTAGAGAAACTTCCCTAAATTCCTGCTACTTTTAGCTGGTACAGACAGGAAACAGCCCTTGAGGCTAAGAGTAATTTGCTTATTTCATTTCAAATTTCTCTAGATGTATTGATTCAAGCTTTCTGAATTTCAGTTGATATATGCAGATGGCTAAAGGTACATTTGTTGAATTTATGTTTTTCAAAGGACAATAACAAAAGAAACAAAGGGGTGTTTCCAATCAGTTAAAAAAAACACTTTTGATGAGAGTACAACTTGCTACTCACTTTTTCCCTTTCCACATTAACATTTGAATGTAAAAACTAATACAAGTCAGACTTTAAACAAATAAGGTATAATAGAATGCAGGAAAAAGAAGTCATTTACATGAAAGCCATATGCAAAGAAGATAACCTAGGAAGAACTAACAGTGATTATATAAATAGAGAAAATGCCTTTTTTGTTATGAGAAGTCTTTTCTATTCCCAGGGCAAACAAACTTGCCTACTTAAATCCAGATTAGAAATATAATTAATGATTACAAACAATGCTTGCTTGTCTTAGAAATGCAGTTTTCAATATTCTTTCACATTGGCACCTTAAGCCTCTGTAGTGGCTAACTTGTTGAAACACAGTTTTCTGAAGTTTTGAAAACTTGCATTTATAATTATTTACACACTGGTTATAAAGAAGCTGACCCAAGGCCCAAAGATTAGACTACTTAGTTAAAAGTGCTTGTGACTGTTTACTGTTGTAAAAGCATCGTATTGGTCTACTTACTGAGCACTGAACTTCAAGATTACCATAAAACCTTAATTCTTCTCATCTTCTCCTATCCCTTTATTTTTCTATCATCCAAACAGCTTTTCTGTTTCGCTTTCTTTTTGTTAATGCTACCACACAGCTGAACCGTGGAGCCAAGGTTCTCAGACAGCACCCACTGATGCAGAATGCTATTTTTGAAAGGGAGAAGAAAATCTCCAATTCCTAAAACTTGCCTGCCCAGCATGGAGGGGTCTGAAACCCTAAACTATCAGGATACAGATACAAGAACAAGGGGCACCTCAACCACTGTTTGTCACAGGAAGCAATTTGCTCTACAACTATGAACAACATCTCTCAGTTTCTTTTACCTTTTTGAAAAACAATTTCTTGATTTTCTGTCAGTTACTGAAACCTTCCTAACTGGCATGGGAAAAAAAGGTAAGTGTCTTTGATATCCACTAGCTAAAAAATGGTAAATTCTGATTTTTCTTAATTGATAGTTTTATTCATTAATTTCATCTTTTTAGATTTTTACCAGCTCAAATAATTTCCATATAAGAAAGAATTTACAAGTCTACTATATCAAAGGATCATAAATACATGTCTCAACACTAGCTTTGAAACATCTTGAAGACACAGAACAACCTTACTGAAATCCAGCAGCACTACTCCTGCCATACATCTTGGAGATAAAGAACACTTAACATATTTCGCAATAGTAAATAGCTTTTGAGTTAGACCTTAAACAAAAACCCAAAACAACACATAATATCTCGGGGAATCAAAACATTTGGGTATTTTTTATGGCTTATTTAGCTAGCAAGTCTGTCTTCTCATTCTATTTAGAACTTCACTGGCAAATTATCAATCACTTTACAGAGACTATTCCACATAGAGACCACTACACTACATAAAGAAACCCAAATTTTAGTATATTTAGTAGTTTTTTAATTTTTCTATCTCTTTTTCCAAACAGCCAGCAGAGGGCAGTGTCCAAAATAAGAAAACTAGTTTTTAATGATGACCCCATTCACAGAACACATAGGCAACAAACAGCACAGCAGGATACATTAACAATAGGATCCAAATGGAACCTTACAAGAAACAGTGTCAAAGGGTATTCAAACTGTATCACAAGGAAAAGAATGAAAACTAACTTTGTATCCACTCCATTTTCTAGTATATTTGTATGATGAGAAGTCATCAAAGAAAATTATGCGATAACTTCATAGTTTGTTTTGAATCAAAGACAGGATCAGAAATTAGGTCTCTGCTAAAGAAAAATACTGACCAGAATGTGAAAGCTGAATTAGTGTTACTACCTTTCTCATCCATTTGTTCTTATTTAGGAGGTTTACATAAACTAACCAAACCAGTAGCTAGGAGGTTACTTTAATCCGCCCATCTCTGGTGCATTGTCTTGTAGTGTCTCAGAGGTTTATTAAGTGTGTCCTGAATCTGTGGACCAGCTGTAATCAGGTCAGTGTTGAAAACAGAAAAGCTTATTAGTCTTCTATAAACAAGTTAGTCTCACTAAATTTGATGCATTGTGCATGATAACTAGTAACTTCCCTTTTCCCTTCACTAAAGTAGTGAAGGGAAACTATCAAACAGGTGAACTCCTGACAAAGAAATGGTCTTTAAAAAACAGAGAAGCATTTTAAGATTAAATGCTGTCTTTTACAAAACTGCCTGATGCCAAGGTAAGAGCAAGAGACAAAAAGCCTCTGTTCTTGAAACTCTGGATTCTGTAGCACTCCTGATACAGAGTGCATTGAACAGGTGAGTGTCAGTGCTGCTTCAATTGTGGCAGGATTGCGGCAGGAATGAAGGACCAGAATGAAAAGTTGAAAGACAAGGGATAAATCTCAGTTGAACTGAAAGTACACTTAAACAATTCACTGACCTAAGTGGGAGGGGTTTACTGCTTTAGCTCACACAAAGACAACCTAAATCACACCACTTCTGTTGCAGGACACAAGTACGAAAATTTAATTACCACAACTCAGCTGAGAGGTGCTATGCCACTATGAGCCCAGTTATGTGCTCAAGATATACTTAAAGTCACAAAGTGACAACATCATGTCTGTAACTTTAGGGCTTGCTAGTAGCCACACCTCATTGTCATTTAACTAGAGTAATTAAGGATATAACAACTGCGTCTTTCAATTATATATTTGATCATTTCTCATGAAAAATCTCTGAATTGTTCAGTCTCCTTAAATTAAGTGTTTTATCTTTTACTCACTGACTGACTGAATCACCTCCAGTCTTGTCTCCTCCATCTGCCTCCTCGTCAGTATCAGAATCAGCTCCAATCTTGCCTAGATATACACAGTTTCAAACATGAAAATTTAGGAAAGTGATATAATTAATATTACATACTTAGGTTTACTTTTAATTATTAACTCTATTGCAATCAGTGGAAGAGGATTTTTCCCAGTTAAAGCAGAAGTTCTAAAATTAGACTTAGTCAAAACCAAAACCCTTATTTGGGAGTCTTCTGTTGGCTTCACATACATTTATACTGGATTACAAAAAATCTGATTAGCTACTCTGATTGGTACAATACTGTGGATGCTAAAAATAAAGTACAGAATTAACAGCAAGATACTCTGAAGCACTCAGACTCGAAGAGCTTTTCTTCATTGACAAGACAGCAATATGTTTACAAATAAGTTCTATATTCCTTAAATATCACGTGCAAGTTTAATAAAGCTGTGAAAAGCTGGAATGTCATTTCCTTAACCAAAGTACATGAATTGTGTGTCTTGGTGGAACTGAGCGATTATGAACACATTAATATATACTTACTAGTGTGTGTCTGTACATATACATATATATTTTTAAGTTGCTAAATTAAGTGCAAATTCGGTTGAGGCAGACTATTTTCTGGTATACAGTGGAGTTTCATTCATACCTTCAAGTATCTTCAACAGTTTTTTTTCAGATAACAGCTCCAACTGCTCCATGCAAAGCCTTTTGATTTCATCCATGGAACAGTTCTAAGAAGACAGATAAGACAAACCACAAGCTACTAAAAATTTCTGAGAAGAGAGTAATTAAAGTTGTAATGAAGATTTAACTTGGATTAAAGCCTCTCCCATATTCTGATCTGCACTGATGCAACTGCAGTAGAAAACCAGGTGTTTCAGCTATGACAAGAAATAGCATATGTGTGGGTTTCATCTGAAAAATTAAGCAATATACACTCTATCAGTTACCTGACCTATGGCTCGGAGTCTTTACTGCAGCTACAACACTGAGCACCACAAACACCAGATCGTATGTGTGAAGCATGGAACAGCAAACAATTATAGACTTCGTTATTCCTAGTTCTGCACCACTAGGGGGAAGCTGGGTTATGTAATTAAGCTTGCAAAGATCAGAGGGTACTGTTGAATGGAAGTCCAAAAACTGGAGAAAATAATCCTATTGACAACATACCAACAGATGCATATCACAACACAGAAAATAAAGCAAGCATGTAAACTGCGATTCATTTCTCATGCTTGGTACATACCATACATTGCCACAGTTTTTACTGGTATTCCAGTCACCTTCAAATCTCATACCTCTTGCTGACATTTGGGAATTTCCCATTTTCAAATGAGCTCTGATACCTCTGATACAAGTACCAAAATTAGGAGCTGCTAAACAGGTTGTAACACCCTCAGTCATATTTTAAGTTTGGTTCTATACTATGAGGCCATTTCCCTACAAACTCAGTAATGTCTTTCCTTCCAGACTCTCAACTTCTTCTTCTGCCGGAGATGAGAAATGGATGAGACTATGTGCAATTTACCATGTGTTTAAAAAGAAGTCCAGTCTCACTTATTAATAATACAACTCATTAAGATAAAAATTTGAGATAAAAAATTTACAACTACCAACAAGCATTACACAGATGACATTTCACTTGCAGCCTCTTCTTCTGTACAGGCTGCTACCCTAATTTATTTTAAGTCCTACTTAAAGTTCACAAGAGTCAAAAAGCATTTGATCCAAGCCAGTAAAACTCTGCCTTTAGTCCATAGGAGCTACAGCTTCAGAAGCTGTTTATGAAGAATGGGCTTTATTTTCTTATCTCAGACATTGCTTTAATACCATACAAAGAAAATCAGTTGCCACAAGCAGAAATCAGTATTTTATTTACAAATCAGCATATTAGTTAGTGAACAACATTACTGTATTTACTCCTCATAACCACGAAAATCCTTTTGCATTTAACTAACCAGTACAGAGGGACAGTCTAAAGCTAAACCTGAAGTTTAGAAATGATTGAGCAGTAGCAAAAGGAGTAACCTGGAATAACAACAGGAAATCTTTAAAAAGTCTCACTTCCAGACACATGACTGGGAGACTACTTAAGAAGAGTACTTAACTTCATAGAAACTTCTTTAGTTGAGAAATATTCAGACAGTTTTTAAAATGTAAATGCACTAGGCTTGAGAGATAAGTATTTTTTGTTACACAAGCATTCAAGATCATGGTAAATATATAAATGGTCAGTGTTTTTCAGTACCTTTAAAGTATCGGGCAGCATCTTCTGTAGTTTCTTCTCCCCTATGACACAGAAACACTGTTGAAGCATTTCCTTTTTGTCCCCAATGTAGAAACTGACAGGTTTGAGTGACACAGTGAGATCTAATCCTCCTTCTTCTATATCACTGGGTTGTTCAGCTTCTTCCACTTTTTCTCCAGAGAGTACATTGCATTTTGTTTCCTAAAATCAAAGAAGGCACATTTTCTAGTGAATTATAGAAGACAGAAAATTACAGCTTCACTTGTGCTTGCAATAATTTTCCCTTCATAAATGCAAGGTACATCTTAACGTGGGCTTCTCAAATTCCAGTGTTTCATATTGCAAGGTAACTGCATTACAGAAATTACGTATTTTATTACTGAAAACATTATTGTGCTAGGAAAATTTTGTAAACCTCCATGAAGTGAAAATTACTCCTAAATATTAACTGGGAAATACTATCTGCAAATACTTAGCAGGTGCTTACACATGAAGGCTTGCTTTAATGCAGAAGAAATCCATCTGATTAGCTGGGCAGTTAAATCATAAAGCTCATCATTTACAGCTATCCTGCTAAGATTGGCATACAATCCCCTGTCTGGCAGAGTCTTCACAGAATCAAAATGGGCTTCAGATTAGAAAATGCATCCTACATACATCAGCGGAGGACCTCTAGAATAAAAAAAACTAATTAAACAAAAAAACAAACAAAAACAAAACCCGACCAAACAAAAAAAAAAAAAACCAAAACCAAATCACCAGCCAGAAATATATTTTGTCAGCCTTAGCATTCACTTAGGCGTGCATGTCACAACCAATTTTTGCACCAACACATCCTTGAGAAGACTCAAAAGGCCAGAAGTGTGAGAACCACGACGGGCGCTACCCGAGCTCGTACGCCACACCCCTCACACCTGGGAAGCACAGATGGGCGTCCCCGGGATGCGCGCCCGGGCTCGGCCGG